AAACTTGCCCAACATTTTGCCCTGCCGGGAATCGAACCCAGGTCTCTTGCTTGCGAAGCGAGTGCTACAACCACTGACTCCATATGTTTGCAACATGAGATATATTTGAAAATCTATAGCTATTAACCTTTCTAACTTTGGATGTCAACCTGGGACAGTCTTGGTCAAAGGTTGGGGATTCAAGTCTCACAGTCTAGGCTACCTTACCTGCCTGTTCAGATGAATGTTAAAGCTTCCAAGATCCTGTTTGGAAAGAGAAGGGAGTTTTCCTCTCAGACGACAGGCCAATAATCCTCTAGATAAATTGATCATTTACCAATTCACTATGGGGTTTGTACAAAATTGCTGTGGTTGCAAAAAAAAAAGGCCCTGCTCTTGGCAGTAATTAATCACTTTGAGATGTTTTAATATAATTAGATGCTATAAAATTCAAAGTTCATTAGTTGGTTTATTTTTCAAAAAATATTGTTTATATTGGAAACGTCCAATTTGCAATTGGAGGTGAATATTAAAGGACACCATACTCTTGTCCCAGTCTACCTCTGCAACCTCTTCATGCTGTACCAACCCGACTGCTCCCTTTGCTCAGTGGGCACCTCGCCCAATGTACCCCACCACTGGCGATTGGGCTTTCAACCTAGCTGCCTCCCACTCTATGCAACTCCATCCTGGAGTCCCTCCGACACCCCATCCATCATCTCTTTCAAGGTCTTTCTCAAGACAACAACGACGACGAACAACAAATTACATTTGTACAATGCCTTTAACGTCAGGAGGACTTCCCAAGGCGCTGAACAGTTAGGGTTTTGGACCCTGGCTGGGGGTTTTGGATCAGAAGGGGTGGAAGGCAGGGAGGATAGGGGTAGGAGGGTAACCTTTTAGGTCAGCCAGCAAAATAAATTTTCTTAATTGAACATTTCTTGATTTTTACCATAAATCATGCTTCCTCATCCACACCTTTATCACTTAATGGTTGGATTCAATTGTTGCCTACCTAAGCTCCAGTTCTCCACACTCAATAACCCATGTTCTCTCCTGGACCAGGATCTGAGAACTCATCGCCCCCACCCTCACCCCTCAACTTCATTGATTTCCCATTTTCCAGTGACTGGATTAAAATTTCTTGTCTTCCCTTTCTAGTCCTTCTAAGGCCTCGCTCAACCCAACCACTATGACCTCCAGTAGCCCTACCTACCCTGGCCTCTCCCTCCTGTCAGCAAACTCTGGCCTGCCCCACCCTACCATTGCCAGGCAACCTCTCTCCTGGTCTCTGGACTCCTTGAGTCCCTCCACCTTGCCCCCTCCTTCACGGCTATCAAAAACTGCCTCTTTGACCATGTTTTCTTTAGCCTTTCTATTTCTCGCCCCACAAACCCAACCTCGGATTCCAGTCAATTGTGTTAAGTGCAGAATTTATTTCAAAAAGGCATTTGGGACTGGGTGGGAGGGGGGCAGTGATGTTCAATGAGAACAGGCTGGGTAAGCAAAACTGCAGTATGTCTAATGGTGAAGCTACTTTGAGAAGCCCGGTGCATCAATGACAACAACAAATTGCATTTATATGGTACCTTTCACGTCAGGAGGATGTCCCAAAGCTCTGGGAGTTTAATATAAAAAGGTCACAGAGGGGAAACCCTTTGTGACCTTTTCAACTTACAGGAAAATTCGACAAGCTAACCTTTTATCACGGCATGTTATGGTGCACTTTCCCCCCCAATACAGCTCTTGCAAGTCAGGAGTACTAATTTGGAGTAATAGGAGCCCTGTGCTTTTATAGCAAATTGTACACAGTATTTTTTTTAAATAAGGTTATAACGAACAACTACTTTGGGCCATAACTCAAAATATTGTTGACGCTATTTCGTTTTGTTTATTGGCTTTATGCCAAAACATTACAAGACAGCTGTTTTCTTATGATAAATATATTTTGCTCTCAAAGAATTCTAACATACACTAGAGCTATGACTGGTTTCACTGATTCAGCCAAAACTTTGGAGAAAGTAGGGCAGTATTTCTGCCTGTTCAAATAGAACCTGACAAAAAAAAGCTCATCACACCCACTCCCTTCAATGGCTACGTTAAACCTACTCTTTAATCTCTTTGGAGAAATCTCTGCATGGGAATTTCCTGTACCCAAAAGACAGTCACACAAAACGTTGCAATATTCATCCATCTCCACCACTCAAGCTGTTCTCCAGTAAATAACTATATAGTTCTGTAAGCATAAACCAGGACATTTACTGCTTCATTCACTCCACTCCGGAGACTCTGGAACTCTGCCTCAATCCCTCCGCCTTGCCCCCTCCTTGTTGTCCTCCTTCAGATCACACCAGAGGACCTTCCTCTTCGACTGTGCTTATGGTCAACTTCCCTCTCTCCCAGGCTCAGTGTCAAGCTCCACTCTCAAGCTCTCCAACTCTACCCCACGTGGAGGGTCCTATTTTAAATGCAAGTCGTTGTTGCTTTTACAAGGTGACTTGTATATAATCATTGCTTCGGGGAAGAAAGGAAACATTCTCATCTCTCTAGACCTGCTTGAGACTTTTTCATATTAGATTTAAACTTTATAGTTGCTTTCTCGTTCTAATCTCGCACTCTCTAAATCAGGTTGAGATAAAAACTGGTGATTAAAAACAGTTGGACAGAAGAAGCATCACTAAGGGTGGAATCAGAGGCTTGGCTTGGTATGAGAGAGTGGAAAAGTAAATCTAATTTGAGAGTGTTTGCTTTCATGAAACTGACAGTATGAACACTGAGCAACTGTCTGCATGGAATCTATCTTCTCTCTGTGTGAAAATCTACCCTTGGGAAAGGTTTCGTTTTGATTAATGGAAACTTCATATTAAAATGCACCAAGTTGCCACATCATTGTCTCTGCCTCAGGAACCACAACAACTTGCATTTATATAGTGCCCCTCACGCAGGTTAGCAACTCAGAGCACCATATGTCACTAGCTTGAATCCAGATGCTAAAAGTACCAAGAAATCTCTGACACGTTCTACAGAGCATTTCATCAGCAATTGGTTTTCTTTTTAATTTTTCTTGCTTCTCGTCCTTATACTGTGAGTGTGTGTACGTGCGCATGTGAGTTTGCGTGTAAGGTTTGAGGAGCAGAGCAAACCTAAAGTTGTGCCTTTGCAATTAATCTACAGAATGTTAAGTGGGTTACAGCATCAGGGGGCAGGAAATGTGTGAAGCAGACACAAACAGTGGAATTGGGCAATGTCAACAAATTTAAATAGGTGCTGGATTTTTGGTAGGATGAATGATTAACAACAACAATTTGTATTTAAATAGTGCCCTTCAAGCAGGATAGTATCTTTGAATGAGTGAAGGGTATGAAATGGAAGATGGTGTTAGGCAGTATTTTTCAAATAAACATTAAACCGCAGGATGGACAACAATGGTCTTTTTTTCTAAATTCCAGATTTCAAATCCATTCTTTCATCCTGTTCTTAGAAGCCAAAAAGGTCCCTGTTTTTCTTTCAGGAGTCAGATGCAATAATCTCTCCTGCAGAGGAAAACTTGGCATGCTATTGATTCAAAGTCAGCAAAGTCTTGAGAGAGACAGTGACAGAGATAAAGAGAGAGAGATTCCAGAGGCTGAGATAAACAAACAAACATAAATAAGAAATTACACTTTGAGGAGGGAGACATTAAAATGACAATGATTCAACTAACTTGGAAGGCCAAGCACAGATGTCGTTGTGAATGATATGACAGCACAATTGATCCTGTCTTACAGTTCTGGACTGCCTCCAGCCAGAACACTAGGGCACAAATAAAGTTATCATCCTTGAATAAAGGTGCAATAGAAGGTTAAATTATGACTATATCTGGAGCTGTATTACCTATCCAATAAGCTTGTGGTCCTCATGCTTATTTAAAATTTTCATTGAAAAGTTCTATTTTCTTGTTTCCCATCTCATTCTTTACAGCACTTGGAGGTCCGGAGTTTACTCTTCTAAAGTTCTGCACATCTGCTGCCTTTGCCAACAGCAATCTTTTATTCCTATCAAATAATATCAAATCTAATTGCATAAAGATCACCAGAGTAAACATGGTTTCTCATATCCACATGGCTAATCTGTTCCATTGGATGACAAAATGCTAAATCTTGTCCAATCTGTCTTAATTCATAGCTTGGTACTTTGTTTGACATGTTGGTTTAAGAAACAGAACCTGATTATGTTTTACAAAATGATTTCTATGTTCACCTCTCCTTTCTGGAGTTGATTTAATTCTTAGATATTGAAATCCTCACGATTATCATGTTATAATTTGCTAACAAAAAATTTGTTAGTGCATAAACAGGTACTGTATTTAACTTCAACTAATAGCAAATTCAACAGTTAATCACAGTTCTAGTTATTACTTGTTGCCTATTCATTTCTATATTAATTTCTGTGTATGCTGAGTTGATGGCCCAGTTAATAACTTGTTTGCCTCTTACAACAACTTTTATAATTTTTTAAAAAAACAAATAAAATGATAAACGCTCATTTTAATTTCCACCCATGTCGTTTCTGCTTTCGTCCCCTCTGCTGTTATAGCCCTCTAATAAAAAAAGAATATTATCGCCTGATTTTAATACCATTCTCCCCTTCAAGGCTGGACATTCTCCTGAGGTGAAAGACGCTTTATAAATGTAATTTGTTGTTCAAATTTCTAGAACAGACTAACAATATGATAGCTTATATTCAATTGAATATTTGTTTTATTTATTGAATAGATGCTATCTGTGGTGATGTACTGATTTGCACCAGCTATACTTTCTCCCTATTCCTTGTGGTACATTTTTAGAGGCCAACATCATTCCTGATCAACCTTTTCCCATTGCTTCCCAATGCCATTGTCTACTAGCAGCAGGAGCTCACTGTCTGAGAGGAACCACAGCATTGGCACTAAAATTCTGCACCATTCACAGTCGACCAAAATGTAATGCTCTCAGATCAGAACTCTGTGAGCTCGATAAGAAGGGCTTTTCTTTTCTTTGCAGAATTCAGTGACACGGAGTGCTCCTTTTTCAAATGACTCTCAGGGTCGAAGTGGGGCTCGATTCCACACCACCTATGACAGAAGATATGTGGTCAAAACTATTTCCAGTGAGGATGTGGCGGAAATGCATAATGTGCTGAAGAAGTACCATCAGGTAAAGCTGAGCAACGTGTAAACTAACTAAGACTTTTTTTGTTGACCATTCTTTCCTGTTAAAAGTGCACAAGTATTTGATGACCTACAAAATACACAGTCAGTATCCTGTGTGACACTCTGAGACTTCTTCCCAATGTGAAAGGTGCTATATCAAATGCAAGGATTATTATTTATTGTTATAATTTACCCTCATCAACCCTTGAAAGTGACCTTCAACATCAAATTTTTTTTTAAAAGAGTTCTTAAATACTGAAATGCTAGCATTTTTTTATTTAGAACCTAGATAGAGCATTAAGATTAAAAGCTTCAAGGAAGCATTTTTTTTGGTCAGCCAGATGTCTGATACATGTGGAAACACATCACCAGGCTTAAGGGTATTCGAACCAGTCTGAAAGTTCCATGCCTGTCACCTACTCATGGAAATTCCTGTGTTTGGAATGAATTTGGGGACTCTGTTCCTGGAGGAATGCATCTGTTTACCTAATTTGGGAGACTATTAAGTGTAGATTAGCAAGAGCCAAGGCTTTGGCACCCCAGAATATGTATTGGGGGGTACTGCTGGAGTTTAACCAGTGAAACCACATAGCTTGCCATTGATATTGCTGTCTGGGAAGCCTTTCCTGATGCTTGTCCAGATAAGACTCTGCTGGAGATATTACTGCTGGGAGAACAAAAATAGGCATGTTTTTAGCTTCTAAGAACCTGATAAAAGAATAGATTTGGATTGGGAAACTGGAATTTAGAAAAAGATCGTTGGCTTGCAGGGTTAACAGGAGATAAGTAGGAAGAATATCTGCCCTCAGTGACATGCTCCTCAAAATCCTGCCGATGAACCAGCTGGCAGGGCCATCATCAGCAGTGCCTTGGAGTACTGTGGGCCTGCCTGGCTCAGGAACTGGACAAGCGAGACAGGGTTGACGCTATTCCAACATTCTGTTGCCAAGCATGTCACCTTGCAGTTTAGTTCCAAGGAGACCCCACGGAACCACTCCCCCACCCACCCGCATGAGAATAGGCACCAATTGGTCATTTCACATCCAACAGGCACAGGTTTGAGCCCTCACTAGAGGGATGGCAGGTACCAGGAACTCGGTGTGAACTTCCTGGTGGGCAGCAGGAAATATGAAATGTGTAAGAGCATTGCCATCTACTTCCTGCTCACTCAGACACACATCCCTACCATTGTTCCATCAGCTGGAGTTGCGGAGCTTGAGCAGTAGCTTCTTATTTCTCTGCATACCAGTGAAGTTAGATTCCAAGCCCTGATTTACAAATGTTTGTCCACGAGCCCGAACTCCCATGTAATGGGAAAAACAAAAGTTTGGGAGGAAAGTTCTGAGGCACAGTGATCAAATAAAGAGCGACAGGAAAGGTTACGACTGAGTGAGAGGGGATGGAAGATAGAATGTGCTTGATTCATAAATCTGATGCTGCCTTTTCTGTCTACTACTGTGGATGCAAAGTAGAAGTGATGCAGCAACTAAAAATTGATCCTCGGCGAATGCCACTTTGGCAGATATGAGCTGATATAACCTGCACTTCTCACTCAAAGTTGCAATACAACTTGAGGAGCTCTGATTTTCTTTCAGTACTAATAACCCTTGCATTTGTTTGTTCTGGAGTGAAACACCCCCCCTCCCCCCTTTTCGACCATGCCTTCAGTCACCCTCCTACCTCTCTGCCCTCCCTCATCCCAACCCCTACCTCCCCCCCACACTTGGCTTCCTGATCCCCGACTGTTCAGCACCTCGGGACTTCCTCCCAACGTGAAAGGCACTTCACAAATATAATTTTGTTGTTGTTGAAATAGGGCACGCATCAAGTTTCAGACACATATCATTGCCATAGCCATCATTGCCATCGCAAGCATTCCCGGCAGGGTGAAACTATGGGCAAGTTTCCTTATTCCACACGCCTCTGTTTACCTAGCAGTAAGTAGGAACCCAGTTGTTAGTTGATTTGTGGATCACTTTTCCAGGGGTAATAATTCCTTAAATAAATAATTTGGTCACTCAATTCATGAGTGTTTGTGGGACACTGCTGTGTGCAATTGGGTGCCACATTTCATAGAATCATAGAATGTTACGGCACAGAAGGAGGCCATTCGGCCCATCGAGTCTATGCCGGCTCTTTGACAGAGCAACTGACTTTTATTAACCCACTCACCAGCTTTCTCCCCATAACCCTGCAAACCTGTCTTCTCCAGATACCTATCCAGTTCTCTCTTAAAAGCTGTTATCGAATCGGACTTCACTGCCCTTTCGGGCAGATCATTCCAAATTCTAACAACTCGCTGAGTGAAAATATTTCTTCTAACCTCCCCTCTGCTTCTTTTGGTAGATACCTTAAGACTGTGACCACGAGTCACAGACACACCTACCAGCGGAAACAGCTTTTCCCTATCTAGCCTGTCGAAACCTTTAATGATCTTGAAGACCTCTATCAGGTCCCCGCGTAACCTTCTCTGCTCTAATGGGAAAAGTCCTAACTTTTCCAGCCTGTCCTCATAGCTAAGCTTCCCCATTCCTGGTATCATTCTCGTGAATCTCCTCTGCACCCTTTCCAGTGCCTTAATATCCTTCCTGAGGTAAGGTGCCCAGAACTGGACGCAGTACTCCAGCTGAGGCCTAACCAGTGTTTTGTACAGATTAAGCATAACCTCCCTACTCTTATACTCTATGCCCCTACTAATGAAGCTCAGTACACCAAATGCCCTTTTTACTGCCCTATCTACCTGCTCTGCCACCTTCAATGAATCGCTTACTTGAACGCCCAGATCTCTCTGTACGTTCACCCCCTTAAAATTGAGCTACCAAGCCTATATTGCCTCCTATCATTTTTCCTACCTAAGTGTATCACCTCGCACTTATCTACATTGAAATCCATCTGCCACATGTCTGCCCATTCCACCATTCTGTGTATGTTTGCCTGCAGTCCATCACAACCTTCTTCACTATTTACTACCCTACCTAACTTGGTATCATCTGCAAACTTGGAAATAGTGCTCCCTATGCCCAAGTCCAGATCATTAATATATATTAGAAAGAGCAGTGGTCCCAATACCGATCCCTGGGGGACACCGCTGCACACCTCCTTCCATTGCGAAAAACACCCATTAACCACCACCCTCTGCATTCTGTCACTCAGCCAGTTCCTAATCCAAATGGCTACAGTCCCCTTAATACCGTGGGCCTCCAGTTTTTTTATTAACATCTTATGCGGTACTGTGTCAAAAGCCTTTTTAAAATCCATGTAAATAATGTCCACCGCATTTCCCTCATCAACCCTCACAGTCACCTCTTCAAAAAATTCTATTAGATTTGTTAGGCAAGATTTGCCTTTAACAAATCCATGTTGGCTGTCTCTAATTACCTTGTGTTCCTCTAAGTAGAGATTTATTTTGTCCCGGATTACGGTCTCCAGTAGCTTTCCTATTACCGGACTTGTCTTTCTGCCCCTTTTTGTAGAGTGGGGTAACATTAGCTACTCTCCAGTATCTTGGCACCACTCCTGTGTCCAATGACGATTGAAATATAATGGCCAAAGCCTCCGCTATTTGAACCCGTATCTCCCACAACAACCTTGGGTGAAACCCATCTAGTCCTGGTGACTTATCAATTTTGAGCCCAGTCACCCACAAAACATACAGTCAATTCACTTTACAGTATATTCTGTGAAGAGCTTTGAGACGTCTCGAAGACGTGATAAGACACTATATCAAATGCAAGGATTATTATTATAGCCCCATTTCATCAAAACCCCAACCTATTAACTTAACAAAGCAGTGTGAATCACTCCAATGACAGCAAGCAACCTTACTGATCAGTCAAACACCACAGCACCTTATCATATCGTTGACACGTCACAAAGCGCTTCACAGAATACATTGTAAAGTGGATTGACTGTATATTTTGTGGGTAAAACATGGCAGCAAATTGTACACAGCAGTGTCTCTCAAACAGTTGTAGATTCAGTGACCAAANTTTTTTTGGGTGGAAGTGGGGGGCATTAGGATTATTACCCCCAGAAAGTGAACCACCAATCGACTATCAACCAGGTGCCTACTTACTCCTAGGTAAAGAGAGATGTGTGGAGTAAGGAAATTTGCCTAAGGTTTCTTTTGTCTTTTACTACAATTAGCATTATTTTAAGCATTCATAAGAACTAGATCTGAATAGAAATTACCCCTGGTGAGATCCATAATTACATTTGGTTTAAAAAGCAATTCTGCATCGTATTCCGTAATTTTGATTCTGTTTCCAATATTTCCGGTTTATATTTGGTTGGTTGGTTGCACATAATCTTATCTCATCACCAACCGTGTGCATCAAAATAAACATGTTCAACAGATATGGTGTTTGACAGATCAGTAAGGCTGCTGTCATTTGAGTGATTCACATTGCTTTCTTAAATGAATAGTTTGGGTTTCTGATTAAATGGATACGAGTCATACGAGTCTGAAGCTTGATGTGTGGACTATTTCACCCCTCCAGAGCACACAAACCATTTCAACAATGACTTGGTTGGTTTGAGGGATATACTGTTTTCCCTCAAACATATTGAAGTGCTCCAGGATGCTACCCTGGATAAATGCAAGTTGTTGTTGTTGTTTTGGTAGAAACAAGAGCATTAGAACAAACTGAATGTCCTTCTGTAGCCGGGTGACCTTAAATAGTGACAAATTGGTTACTCCTGTTACAAATCGAGCAGTTCCAGTGGCATAACTGCAATGGTGTAAGTGGTGCAGTCGTGCCAGGGCCTAAGAGGTTTTGGGGGCTAACCCATTGGAGATGGACAGACGTGTGGTCTTTCACTCCCCTTTTCGATGTAGCCACATCATGCATACACTTCACCGGGGAGAGAGAGAACACGAGGAGATTGAGATGGTAAAGATAAGCAAAATTTGAAGAGTCTTGCACCAGTGCCCCCTGGAGTTCTGTTACACCACTGAGCAGTTCCTACTTTACATATTTCTACAATTCATTAATATCATCTGAAAGTGCCAAACCATTATAAAGCAACAACAACAAATTACACTCTGATACCAGGTTGACTGACTGTTTATGGTTCACCAAATAAGGTGTATACAGTATTTTTTTCCAATTTGAAACTAGCACATTTGAGAAGTTGGGACACTGAAAACTGTATTGAAATTTGTATGGTATTTCAAGATAAAAAGAATTGAAAGGTGTTGTATATCATATTTAATGTAATTCAAACAATTTGATCAAAGCGTACCATTTTCTGAGCACCATACAAGAATAACATTTTCAACGTTATTGTGAATTCCTGCTAATTCGAGGTTGTGTCATCTCTTCTTCAAGTTAGTTGCAAACGAGATGCCTCTAGGTAAACTATTAGGGATCAATCAAATGCAATACCTACAGCTGAATGTGACTAATTCAGCAATATAATTACAATTCTTTTATTAGTTGTAATATAATTGATGTAATATAATTTACAAGTGTAAGAATGGCAATGCAATCTTGCTTTAAGCAGTTAGTTATTGTGTCTTCCTTGAGCTCTTTAACTTTTTTTTGTGTAATAGTACCTAGCTGAAGTTTTTTTTAATGCCTTTCTGGTTCTAATACAACTTTTAATCATAAATTCTTGTAAAAGATGCATTATTGGCAGATTGTTTACATTTTTATGTTTTTAAGAACACATTTTTATTACTTTAAGACAAATTAAACCCTAACATTATAGATTTCAATATAGTAGATTTGTTCCTGCCAAGTGTTCTGACCTCTTGATACTATAGATCAGATTGGATTGCTCCAGGTTTCTCCATGTAAGTGCTGATATTTTACCTGCCTAAGTATGATAACTGTGGCAATCCTTTCAAGGCTAGGACATTTTGGCTGCATGCTTCTGCCCAATAGGCCTATAGGATTGTCCAAACTCATTTCACTTCAAGCAGCAGAATACACAAGACTTTAAGGTAGATTGTGTGCTATTCCAGTGTGGCACTGTTCCCCATTATTTACATTTTTATACATATTATCCTTTTCTACTCTTCTGGCCTGAGTATCTATCTTAAGGCAGCATCCCAACCAATTAGACTTCCCACAGCCTGCAATGTGTGTTAAGATTGCTTGCGCGAAGTGCTGAGGTAATGTACAAACTGAAACCATTAGAGATTGTTTCTATTTGACAAGCAAATTTACGCAATCTACTTACATTTTTTCAATCAATTTAATTTATATTGTATCAATTTATATTAATCAACTTATCATTTTGCACTTTACAGCAAACTCCTGTGAAGCTTTTTGATGTGAAACAATGTGAAAGGCACTATGTCAAATGAAAGGATTATTATTATCATCCTGGACTCGTATGACCCCAACCCCCACCCTCCCCACCCCCATCGTTCTATGGGTCAATCAAGCAACACATCCCAGTAACAGCACAAACCCGGAGCCAGTGACTGGCAGCAGTTGTGTTGTGCACTTGTTTATGACATTGAATAAAAATATTCTGGATCTCAATAACTGGATAATAACATGGTTCTCTGTACTTTCATCTAAATTTGAAAACCATGTAAATGAATGTTCTTACTTTTGTGCTCTCCACAGTATATTGTGGAATGCCATGGAAACACCCTCATACCACAATTCCTGGGAATGTACAGACTGACAGTGGATGGGGTTGAAACCTACATGATTGTGACGAGGAATGTCTTTGGCCATCGACTATCTGTTTACAGGAAGTACGATTTAAAGGTAACAGGAAATTGTTTATTTATGTAANTTTTTTTCTTGCTTGAAAGCTTTTGGGCTTTGATATATTTAGAGAAATTAAGAACGCCTCCTGCTCTGTGTTAACTTATTCTAGTCTCAATTTTAGTTACATAACTGCGTATTGCATGAAACAAACTGGGAGATTCATAGGTTATGTTTTCCTACCACTTATGATTTGTAATTTGCATGTAAATCTATTGTATCTTGCAGTCTAATTGCAACTTGAATTCCACTTGAATTTGTAAATATTGGATGCAGAAGTCAGGCACACTGACTTGTTGGAGTTCTCATGTAGCATGATCTCCTTCCTGGTGTGTCAGAGCAGAGTTCCTGTAGCTTGACATAAAGCACATCTGTTTCAAGTAAGATGCAATATTTTTAAATCCTCTGCAAATCATCTTAAGGAGCTGAATGCAATGTGCAAAGCTATTACAAGGACCATATCTCAAGTTTGACTAAAGTATTAATGTGCAGTAAATAGCATTTACCATTTATGCAAGTGTTTGGTTGCATAACAATCGTATAAAACACTGCACCATTAATATTACATTACTGAACAGGAGCTATCACTAGTTACAAGAAATGATTTTGTATAGCAAATGATCCTGTTGTTTCAATTTATGTTCTCTCCATCATTGTTGATGTGTTGTCTTCATTCTTTTGGTTTTGGCAAAAGCTGTATCAAACTCCTCTTCATAATCTAGGATATTAATCATTATAAAAAGGATTACTCCCTTAATCTGATGGCAATGCTTGTCCATAATTGCAGCATTTTGCAAAGTGTTAATCAGACTAAATACAGTATGGGGTTTCAGATCAGCTCTTTCAATTATAAAATTTATCTTCTTTGTAATTAAAACTTCCTGAAACAGGATCATCCCCAATATATCGGGTTACAGCAGATCTGTACCGAATCCAAGCCATCAATATGGTTAGAATTTCAACATGAGTTTTGTTCACCTTGTTTTTTAAGGAAAAACCTCTTGCAGACTTGATGATGCAGAGGAATACACTTCTAGAGTTGTTAGCGTGTTTGAGGTGGTCTTGAAATGATTCCAATAATTATACAGCATGCTTTGTTTATGATTGAAAACTATAATTAATGTTGCTGTTGCACCAACTTAGATCTAAATAGAGGCCTAATTGTGGAAGAGCCTTGTGCAACAGCTCAATCAATCTAACACAAGTTCAGAAATTGGGTTGAATGGTCATTTCTCATTCCGTGCTTTATGTTTTTTACCGTTTGCTTCTTTCCATTTCCAACAGTAATTTTGTTTTCAGAGATAAATATGTATGAGAGCCCTGAGGCAAGGATGTAACAATCTGAAAACAGTTGTTTATTTATAGGCCTGTAACTTTGTGAGGAGAATTGTATTTCTTTCAGGATTTAAAGAGAAACTCAACCCTATTTTATTTTGTTTTTGCACTTTATAGAACTGCTTAAAAGTGAACGAGATGCAAAGGGATGGACATTAGTACAGATGAGTGAATCAAGTGCAGAATATGCTGGCGATTACCAGGTCAAGGTGAACAGGTAGATAGAGAGTACTATATAGGCTATTAAGAGAAGTGGCAAGGAATCAGTATAATTGAGTGGAGGGTGAGAGTAGAATTGAGATAAAATAGATAGATAGGAAGCAATTGGAAGGGAGATGTGAAAGTCCATTGTGATCGATTGCTTAGACGCAATCAGTGACTGCTTTTTATAACATTATTAAAGTAAAGTACAGTACTGGACTTGGCTGCTGTATTGTATTTTGTGTTTAAGTCTACTTCAACTTAAACTGAAAAATTGGTAAACACTTAGGTTCCAGTGATCTTTTTAAGAGTTAGACCGATGAAACATTATAAATTCACTGCATTTCTCTAAAGCGATCAGAAGGTGTCAAAGAGATCTTCAGAATGCTAATGAGTAGTCGGACCTGGTTTTAATTGCCAAACCATGAATAATATGAGCAGAAAATGAGTAAGTCTCGAGCAAAGCCAGTGACCCGAAAATCCTGTTCTAAACAGTGGGTATGTGGAGCAAAACTATCCCCAAAAGCAGTTAATGCATATCAATTCGTTATTTTTATTAAATAAAGCAGTTGTATAAATCTCTAATTAGGAATAAAATTGAAGGTCAGAGATGATCGAATCCTGCATGTTGGGTGAGGTTCTTGTAGTGCTGATGCCACTGAAAAGTCGTGTGAGTAAAATAATTTTAGCAAAGGAGCAATATAAATGATGTTCTAAACCTTTGCCTTATCTTTGGAGCTTTAGAGGAATTTTGCAGAACTCAAGAGGAAATAATTGGAGTAACATCCGTGATGGATTAAGTAATTATTCTGTGAAAATAGCATTTACTGTTTTACTTAGGAATCTGTTCTTCTTATTTACTATTGTTGCTGTAGGAGGAGAAAAGGTAAGCTGATAACAACAGCTTGCACTTATATAGCGCCCTCTGCATCGGGCGGCGTCTCAGAGCGCTTAACAATCCTGGAGCCCAAGGCCGAACCAGGGGGAGGGGAAAAGTAACCATAGGCCTGGGCGCGACCTGAAGATGGGGAAGGAGGGGGCGAAGCAAAGGGGTTGAGGGAGTGAGTTCCAAAGTTTCAGGGAGTAGTGGCTGAAGGCACGGCTGCCGATGGTGGAACGGAGGATTCAGGGGGTGTGGAGGAGGCCGGACCCAGGGGAGTGGAGGCAGCGAGTACTGCTGTGGGGAGAGAGGAGGTTAGAGAGATAGGGGGTTGCCAAGGAATGGAGGGATTTAAATGTTAGAGTGAGGATCTTGAAGTTGATTCACTCTGTGGCAGGTAGCCAGTGGAGTTTGGCAAGGACTGGAGTAATCGAGGTACAAAGTTTGGTGCGGGTGAGAATGCGAGCGGTGGAGTTTTGAATGAGCTGGGTTTTGTGAATAGTGGAGGAGGGGAGACCAGCGAGGAGGGCATTAGAGTAGTCCAGCCGAGAAGTGACAAAGGTATCTCGCTGATTAAAGGTGTATTTAGAACTTCTGTTTCTACACTCACACTATTAAGTTAAGTTAAACAACCCACTTTCATTATCTATGGCTTTCACCCTTTTAAAGACCTGGTTTTACCTTGATTATCCAGCTTGGTTCTGTACAGCCGTCAGCCTGGCTCAGTTCATAACACATGCCTTTAGGTCACAAGGCTATGGGCTCAAGAACCAAATTGGATCCTATAGTCTAGGCCGACACTCACCTTTAACTTCTAATAATATGTCTTCAGGATGGATGCTAGTACTTTAACACTTTATTATCCATGTTAATAACAGCAATTTGTATTTATATAGTGCCTTTCACAACAGGAATTGTACAGGTAGAGCTAGGGAGACATTGGAATAATCTAGTCTGCACGTGGATGTGATGAGAGTGCAATGGTAGACTGTGGTGTGGTCCAGACATCCTCCTGACAATAGAGGCGCTAAATAAATGTAAATTGTATTTATTGTATTCCCATGCCTTTTCTCTTATGCTTGACAGGCATTCAAATATCAAATGCAAGGATTATTAAGTACAGGAAAGTATCTTTGCCACGTAAAGTCGATATGCTTCATGTAATTCTATTATATTTTATGATTAATCCAACTGTCTTTTTCTTCATTCAATGGTTTACTCACTTGTTCCTTTTCTACAAGGCTACAGCTAGAGTCTGAGTTTCAGTCCTAAATGTGTAATGGCAAATCTGCGTATTCTCTATATGTTAATTCCTTATTCCAGCACAAATCATCTCCGCTTCACAGATGCTGTTTCTGGATACCTTAGTTGTAGTCTCCCTTGAAGAAATGATAGATTTTATTCTTTATGGACTTATATGCTGTATTTTTGTCACGGATTTTGTCCTCAAATTCCCTGCAATATATTCCTTAGCGAATAACTCATTTTTTAAACCAAATATACTTTTCTCATTGTTTGCTGAGAAAAGTATTTAGGATCTATGTAATAGGTAATTGTGCCAATGCAAATTACACTGCTCAACCTTTTAACTCAGTTTAATTTGAATAGATGGTCAGTGTCGACATATAGGATCACTACTGCATTCACTGTTGTGCTTGCCTTGTCAGAAATACTCAAACACAAACTGTTGAAGTAACAGTGTTTCTCGAGGTGTTGTGACTACAACAACAGCAAAATTACATTTCTAAAGCGCCTTGCACGTCGGGAGGATGTCCCAAGGCACTGGACAGTCAGGGATCAGGACCTGAGCGTGGTGGGGGGAGGGTAGGGCTGGAATGAGGGACGGCAGAGGGGGTAGGAGGGCGGTTGAAGGCAGAGTCAAAAAGGAGGGTCTTGAGTCGTGCCTTGAAGGAGACAAGAGAGGGAACAAGGCGAAGGGATTGTGGGATGGAGTTCCAAAGGGTGGGGTCAGAGAGGCTGAAAGCCCGGTCGCTGATGGTAGGGTGGGTCGGGCGAGAGACCTGGAGCAGACCGGAGCCTGCTGAATGGACGGAGAGGACAGGTTGATAGGGGGTCAGCAGGTCAGAGAGGTAGGAGGGGCAAGCCCATGGGGGCCTTCAGGATGAGGATTTTGAATTCTATCCTCTGAGGGATAGGGAGCCAGTGGAGCCAAGCAAGGGTGAGGGTGATGGGGTTGTGGAGTCTGGTGTGGGAGAGGACACAAGCTGCAGAGCTGGATGATCTGCAGCTTGTGGAGGGAAGAGTTGGGGAGGCCAACAAGGAGGGAGTTTCCTGGATATGGGGGAGAAAGGACAGTTGAGGGTCAAACAAGACGCCCAGGTTCCTGACTGGCTTGGTGAGGTGGAGTGTGCGACCGTGGTTACTGAGGTGCGGAGGGGCTCAGTTTTGCTGACATTCAACTGTTTGAGTCAGCTAATTGAAAGTTGGCTCTCATCCAGGACTTGATATCAGACAGACAGTCTGTCAGGACATCAGTTGTCCTGGAATCGAGGGTGGAGGCAGGGAGATAGAGTTGGGTGTCATCCGCGTACATGTGGAAGTTTACCCCATGTCTGCAGATGATGTCACCAAGGGGGAGCATGTAGAGGTTGAAGAGGAGGGGACCGAGGACAGAGCCTTGAGGAACACTGCATAAGATTGTACGGGGGCTGGAAGAGAAACCATTGGTGGAGACAAATTGGAGACAGTGTGAGAGATAAGACCTAATCCATTCAAGGGACAGAACCTTGAAGGTTGAGGTGAGAGGAGAGGCTGTGGAGGAGGATGGAGTGATCTATGGTATCAAAGTGTTGTAATAGGATTTATATAGTAGGATAAATGAAACTTATGGAGAGCACCAAGCAGGAGGAAAAGTGGGTAAGTACATAGGTAGGGAGGGTTTCCCTAGATAAAGAATAAGCTGCTTTTTTGTTGTGGTTATTTAATTTGCTAGGTGTACCACATATTCTTTTGCTCCAGAGCACATACCCACTGAAGCCAAGAGGAGTAGGCAGAGGAACAGCTCCGATGCTTTGGTTAGTGCTACTCTGAAGCGGCTACCAGGTGTTCAAGAGCAGGCAGACGATGAACGTATCTCTAGTTGTAGGGAGTGCCTGGTCTCTGCTTGTGATCTTCCTACAGTTGATTGAGATTGGGAACGCTACAGTCTGGAGAGTGCATCTGCAGACCCACATTCCATCCCCTCATGCTTCATCACGCCACACTACCAGATTGCCCTCAAGGCAGCTGGCTTTAATAAGACTATTTCAGGGCAGGTGTGATGTGTCAAGTACCGTGTAGATGTGCTGAGTACTAATGTTCAGTAAATGATAGCTGCAGAGCATAAAGTTCATGATTTCAAAAAATGCTTTTATTATTCCCAAAACATTCAGGGGCTTAATCTGTGTGTTGCAATGTAACAATACATTCATTTGTTTTTCAGGGTTCCACAGTGGCCAGAGAAGCTAGTGACAAAGAAAAGGTAAAATGGAGTTTCAAATTGTATTCGTACCCCACAGGACTGATAGCCACACCAATTGGTCCCGGCCCATTTGCAGATAGGCAAAAAGTCAGCTAATTGGCCCCACTTGTAAAATAGAAATTAGTTGGCCAACTTAATACATTGGAGTTATACTACCTGTGCCTGGCTCTCTCTCTCTCTGACTCTCATTTCCACTTTGACTATTTCTGAGTGTGTATGTGTGTGTCCACGTGTGTCTCTCTCTCTCTGTCTCCCTCTCCCTCTCTGTGAGGCAGCAGAGGTGGGGTAATGTTGCATAAGTGAGAGTAAACTGAGTGAGTGACAGGCTCAGATGTGGAGCTTGAAGCACAGTTGGGGTGGTGGGTGGGGGGAGCAAACAAGACTCTTGAGAGGTGCGCTGTCTCTGTGAGGTGGAATGTGTAAATGTCAGATCAATGCAGTCAACACCTGAGTTGAGAAAGTATTGATGGGAGCCAAACAGGAGAGCTTTGGTCTTGTTGACATTCAACTGAAGGAAGCAACGGGGCCAAACTACATGACAGGAGGGCATAGTAATGAGAAATATTTCCTGTAGTTATTTGGAGAGAAAAGTGAATCATGTAATTAAGGAAATTACTTCACCACTCTAGTCATTTCTCCCTTATGTATTGCATTATATCCTGTAATGTATAAAAAAATTAATAAACAGCACATGTCCTTCATACTCTGCCAGTCATGTGCGATTATTGATTCATTTGTACTTCAGTGGAAAGTATACCTTAATATCAGTTTTGTAACTTGCTAGCAATTTTACAATGAGCTGATTAAACTCTTCCATGTTGATATAAATAATCCCTTATATTTGACATAACTCCTTATCACATCTCAAATACTTTGGAGTTTTTTTCAAAAGTATAGTGACTACATATTTGTGGCCAAATGTGACAGCAAATTTGCGTTCTGCAATATCCCATATAAACATACTGAAAACTAATAGATTTGGGGATAGTTGCAATTCCTGGTTTACTTTTGACAAACTAAATCTAATAAAAACTGTAGTTCTGTACCATCACTAAGCCAGTCAGGAACCTGGGTATCTTCTTTGACCCCGAACTGTCTTTTGTCCCCCACATCCGCGCCATGGCCGGCACTGCCTCCGCAACATTGCCAGACTCCGCCATTCCCTCACCCCTCAGGCTGCCGAAACCCTCACCCACGCATTCGTCACATCAAGGCTCGATTACGGGAACTCCCTCCTCCCTTCCCAACTCTTCCCTTCACAAGCTACAGATCATCCAAAACTCTGCAGCTCGTGTACTCTTGCGCACCCCATCACTCCCACCCTCGCCCGACTCCACTGTCTCCCCATCCCCCAGAGGATCAAGTTCAAGATCCTCGTCTTCACCTTTAAGGCCATCCATGGCCTTGCCCTCTCCTACCTCTCTGACCTGCTGACTCCCTACCAACCTGCCCGCTCCCTCCGTTCATCAGGCTCCGGCCTGCTCCATGTCTCCTGCCCGACCCGCCATCGGTGGCCGGGCTTTCAGCCTCTCTGCCCCCACACTCTGGAACTCCATCCCACGGTCCCTTCGCCTCGCTCCCTCCCTTGCTTCCTTCAAGGCCGGTCTCAAGACCCTTCTCTTCAACCGTGCCTTTGGTCGCCCTCCCACCTCTCTGCTTTCCTCACCCCTAAACCACCCCTCCCCCATGCTCGGGCCCCGACAGCTGACTGTTCAGCACTTTGGGACGTCCTCCCGACGTGAAAGGCGCTCTATAAATGTAATGTTGTTGTATCTATACTTTTTCGAGGATTAGTAAATGTAGTAAATTCCTACACTGAATATTTTTAGATTTGAAGATTTAGGTTTCTCATTCGCACAGAAAGGATTCATAAATTTTGTTTCCATGGGCCTGGTGTAACAAAAAAGAGGGCCTTACGTTTCACCTCACTCACTGCAGACAACTAAGACAAATTGCCAAATAGCAGGACAGCATAGCCTTAGGGTAATGGGGAGAACGAGCAAGTGATTTAATGGAAAAACAAAGCAGGCTCCATTCCCCTTTGCTTTTATGCACCAAGTGACTGTGTGATGCCTGAGTAACTCTATTACAGAAACTCTGTAAATGGGCTAGAGAAATGCAGGAATGATTAGTAATTATTTTTAAGTAGGAGTTTAAGAAAAGAAGGGCAATAAGTTATTTGGGTTGTTATTTCCTGCAATAAGCATTATTATTATTGTGAACGGTGTTCTCTTTGTCTATTCTGTTAAAAAATATTTATATGCAAATACTTTTATTTTGGTTTTCTCTATTCCTCATTTTAACTACTCTATTTATTTCACTATATTAGAGTTTGAGTTGTTGAGGTTTTATCAGAGCACAGTGACTTTTTTGCCATTTACCTATTTTCAAAACATGTTTTAACCTAAATTAGAAACCTCTAGAATTAGGTGCAAGATTACCATCCCTTTGGATTTTAAATCGAAGGGTGTTATCAAGGCTTTCAGTAAGAAATACCTATAAGGAAGTTCAAAAGCAAATTCGGGGATTATTTCAATTTGTAGATTCTAAATCTGAGAAATAGGTAGCCCGACACTTTTAAAACCAGATTAAAACCTGGCATTGAAAGCAGAATCAGACTTTGAGGTGTAGAATGTGCTGATGTTAAGTATTCAAATAAAAACAACAGCAGCAAATGCCAGGAAGGTTAATGTGCAAAGAAGTCTTGAAGCATACTATCTTGAATCAGCAAGTATTACATTTCAGAACTGTAATTAAAAGTAAGCATTCGCTTACACCAGCAATAAACGTCCACCCAGTGAAATGAAGCAGCAAATTCAATACAGCATGTAAAAGTGAATTTCAGTTGAACTTGCTTGTATTCCTGTGTGTAGACTTTTTGACCAATGTTATTGACTAGTAGTTCTGTAGAGAACACTTTTTTTACCAAATGGTTGATTCCATAAAATTCTTGTTCATTTTTCTGAAATACTGTAGGCCATGATTGCAAGGCCTTATATCCAAAATATAGTTTGTAGACCAAAACTGCACTATAGGATGTGCCCTCCAACTCTTTCACACTATTGTAGTTTCCTTTTAGTAATTAATGCTTTGAATGGATTTTTTTTTAAAAAACAGGTTGAGTTGAACCTTGACTCTACTTTCGCTGGGAACACTCAGCAGGTCAGCAGCATCTAGATCTTCTCTGGTCTGCCTGTTTTGTTGCAATCTTCTCTCCCCCCCCCTTTGTCTTGCAGTATTAACATCTCTATTCCCCTGCTTCGTTGCAATTCCACCCCCCCCCCCTTGTTTTGCATCATTAACACCTCTTTAATCCATCATCCCCTGTCCTCTACCCCATTTTCTCCTTTGTCTTCCTTGCCCTGCCTCCCCCCTCTCTGTTAGGCCTTAAAAGCCTCTCCCTCCCACTATGCCCCAGTTCTGACGAAGGGTCGTGGACCCGAAAAGTTGACTCACTTTCCTTTCTCCATAGATGCTGCCTGACCTGCTGAGTGTTCCCAGCCACTTCTGTTTTTGTTTCAGTATATTGCATTTTCTTGATCCTACTTTGTCTAAACATCTCAAGTTTCCTAATTTTTTTTGAACAGTGACCATTCCTTGTGAGCTAACGTTAAGTTAATGCGAAATTCACTGACACTTGTGCCAAAATTGATTTACAGAATATTTTTAAGCTATTCTTAGAACGCTGTAAATGAAGGACACGGCAATGTACAGGATTGGAAAAACAGTGTGATTTGTGGCTTCTTATCTTTATATACATTATGGTGAATCTAATTCTTTTGAACACATAGAAAAGCACTGCCCAAGTCTATTGTTGCAATCCAGTTATAAAGTTTGTCTTGCTCAGTTATGCTGTGCCATATATAATCAAGACTTTTTCTTCCGTTTTGGACCTCTATTTAACATATTGCTGTGGGTTAATCTAATAGTTATCTTCTCAATACTTTTGTATTTCTGAATGACTGAAATGTATTCCTTTTATGCTGTGTCCTTCAGCATTAGACCAGCAATGATTTTGATGCAACACATTAGCGCCACCTCTGGTTCATTCATGTCACTTCTTCTCAGTGTATGAAATATTTTTATTAACACTGTTTTAATAAAAAGGAAGATGCTCTTCATAACTGCAAATTTAGCTGATTATGCCGTGCATTTGTTACACAGGCCAAGGAGCTACCAACGTTGAAGGATAATGATTTCATTAATAACGGCCAAAAAATCTACATCGACGAAAACAATAAAAAGATGTTCCAAGAAAAGCTCAGGAAGGATGTTGAGGTAAGAGGGAGGGAAGAAGTTTATTCCTTGCAGCTGCTGTTTTAGAAGGTAGCCAAGCTTCTTGTATGGACAATTTACTGTTCACTTGTGTTTTCTCCCTTTGCGCTTTGAGACGTCTCAACTAAGGAGGTGCTCAGCCTTTGCAGTCTTCTTCTAACGTGCTCTAACTCTGATCTTTCATTGTTGTGCTGACCCCTTATATTCATGAGAGATTCTCTGGTACTTGTACCAAAATCAATTTCAGGGGAATTTAGTTAGTCTTAGAGCACAAAGTTTAGAGCTGTTTAGTACATACTTAGAAAAGTAGGAATGTACTGAACTACAAAATGTAAAACATTTTAACTTTGTTTTTTAAAAAAAGGCTCTTTCTAATGTAATTCAATTGATTTCTTCACCAAATAGCTATCCAATTCCCTTTCAGCTTATTTCTCACACATTCCCTTTCAGTTTACACCTCACACATTTCCAACTGCCCAGCACACGCAAGCAATCTATTCCACCCTGATTCCAAATCATGTGCTTGACGGTGCATGCCTCTTTGCATCTTGTTCTGAAACATGAACAAGCTGGAGTTGACATGCAGAGCCTTGCACTCAGGACAGGGAGCACTCTGACAGCAGAGTTATTCCAGCAAAAGTGATGTCTTCTTCAGTGGGGCACTCATGGTGATAGCGCAGCCTTCTCTACATGGAGCTCCTTTAACATAAGCCAGAACCAGTAGCACTTTACACCCACAGCTAGCTTTTATATAGCACCTTTCACACAGGATAACTTCTTGGAACGCTGATGATAACATCTTGGAACGCATAGAGTAAAACATAAGGTAAAAGGGATAGTGTGTTGGAGCTGGATAGAAGGTCTATGGAATATTTAAGGTACACATCTAGAGGATAGAAGAGAAGACTGAGACCATAATGGGCAGGCTGACATAGAGACAGAATGATTGGCCCTGTCATGAGGAAGGTCAGACATTGGTGCTTTGGGCCATAACATGAAGAAATGTTGTCAGTCATATCTTTGGAAGTAATGCATTTGGTACCTATAAGACCCAAAATATTAAAAAGAATATGCAAGTACAACCAAGATTATTTAATACACTACAAGGAATCGTGGATCAGATTTTATCAATGCTTCTTGTATATTCCTCAATTGAATTTGCACAAGTACTAAAAGATTACATTTTTTCAATTACATATCAAATTTAATATTTTCAAATATCATAAATAGACCTTTGATTGGCAGAAAGTAAAGGGAGGATTTATTTGAATGGACAGCTTGCATTTCATATCTGCTACTTCGATATTTTACTCTCCATATATGCAGCTATCCATATAATCAAACATTAATGCACTGTTGATATAAGTGATATAGGGCATCAACTCAAGTTAGTTTAGTAAACAAGCAAATGGGGAGCTTAGGAGAATTTTTTTCAGACACAGTAGTTAGGATATGGAATGCCCTGCAGGAGCGGAGGTTTGAGGCATAATCCATATTGGTTTCAAAAGGGAATGAGATAATTTACCTTAAAGGGAGTCAACTATGGGATATGGAGAAGTGGGACTGAAAGGGTTGTTCTTAAAGGAACCAGCATAGACACAATTGTAATCTTAAATTTAAGGTACTGTGAGGAATTTGTTTTTCCTCTAGTCTCTTCAGAACATATTTAATTATACGTAGTTTAAATACTTTACTCATTAAATCCGCTTTAATCGGAGTCCTATAACTTAGTGGTTAAAGCACTTGCCTCACAAGCGAGAGGACCTGGTTTCAATTCCCAGGCAGAGCAAAATGTTTGGCAAGTTTCCTTCCTCCACACGCCTCTGTTACCTTGCAGTAAGTAGGAACCCAGTTGTTAGTCAATTGGCAGATCGCTTTTCTGGGGTAATAATCCCTTCAAAAAAAAAGAAAAAAATTTTGCTCACGCAATCCATGACAGTTTGTGGGTCACTTGCTGTGCGCAGTTGGCTGCTGCGTTTCACTCATAAAATATACCCAATTAATTTTACAGTATATTCTGTGAACAGTTTGAGACATCTCGAAGACGTGATAAGATGCTATATCAATTGCAAGGATTTTTTTCGACAAGATAATTTTTTCATTTTGATGTTGTCCACCGAAAATATAGTCTGGTAACTATCACTTACTACCAAAATATTGCATAAGTGAATGAAATTAGGTTTAATAGCCGAATATTTGAGGAGTTGAGGACATTCAGACAAGTTTCAATTCATATTCAACTGTATTTGACCAAAATGTTTGGCTTTTTAAATATATTTTATGCCGAGAGTATTTTTAAAAATTATATATTAATGAAATGCGTTAAACATCATGGCTTGGATTCACAACATTCACAGAGATATTAATGAAATGACCATTCTTATTGAGGAGAGGAGTGAGCCTACAGTCTGAGACTGAGGATTGTGTGCTTTTGTTTAATATTGTAATACGCTTAGATGACCTTTTCACTCTTTTTTCAAAGGCAAGTTTACCATAATAATCTGTGTGAAATGGAAAGGTTTATAAGGTATCTGAAAAGCAGCTGTCTGCATGTAGCTGATATCTTCTGCATTTTAATCACTATGATCATTCAATAGGAACTGCAAGTTGATTAGGTGACAGGTAAAAATGGGATGATACTCTTCAAATAAAAGTGGCATTTTGTTATATTGCTATATGACTACCAATTTTGCACTTTTTGCATGAATTTTGACAAACAGCAGAAATATTAAATGTGTAGCATGGAGAATACATTTTAAGGTGGCTATTGTATAAATGAAATTATTCAAAGTCCCAATTCAAATTCAAAATAAGTCAGTTCTTAGTATATGTGTGTGCAAAATATATTCTTAAAGTAGAAGTGGGTGTAGATGTAAATCTTGGCTTCTGGTTGTGTTTAATATATAGAAGAAATATATTTTCCTAGTGATCAACTAGAGATTTTTGGAAAAAAAACTTAGAGACTCCTGGCATCACAATCATTGATCACCATTGTTTGAAAGACCGAGAATGAATTAACTGTTTACATCACCAAAAAAGATTTGTCACTTGATAGGTGACTCACTGCACCTTCCTTGTTATTCAAGAAGGGAGGAAGGGCAAAAGCAAACCAGTATGGTTATGGTTACTGTCACTGTTGGGAAAATAATTCATCAACACAGAATCCTCCAATATTTGAACACAGAAATGAGTCATTCAACCATTAAATCTGCATCGGTGTTTTTCTCCACATGAGCTTTTAGTTGAACCTCAATCTGCATATTCGTCATACCCTTTAACATTTGTTTTCAAGTATCTATATAATTCTCTTCAAAATCTATTGGTGGGAGAGAAGGTTAGTCGGGTCACTTTGGGACTGGCTGAAAGGTGGCAGCATTCCTTGGCAACCGAATATCAGATTCAAGTCAACACTTTGTAGCGATCTCAGTAATAATGATAATCCTTGCATTTGATATGGCGCCTTATTACATTGTTGAGATGTCTCTAAGCACTGCACACGATTTTACTGTAGATCGTACTGACTGAGTTTTTTAGGTGAACACGGCAGCCAATTTGTAGCTATGAATTGAATGACCAACTTTATCTGGTTGCTGAGCCAGGCAGGTCTGCAGTACTCAGGATGAAAACCCATCCAGTGTTGCTCAATGAGAGGACTTGGAGGTCCATTCAACTGGGACCAGGGATTCTTCCCTCTCAGTTCGTGTTCCCTTGCAAACCAAAGTCTGAAAAATGGGCTGATCTTAGCTAAGCAAACCACGAGAAGCTTACCCAACATAACATGCTCTCAATAACAAACCGTAAAATTTTAGCTGCTTGAACACCAGTAGTACCCCGTCACACATTATGAAGCCCCAACATTGGTCCTCACCAACCTGCACCTTATACTTTCCAGAATTAGGTAAGGAGGGTGTATTCCTCCAAGTAGACAGTGCACTCTTTCCAGACATGGGGAAGTTTCCAAGTGTAGATGGCATGCATATATAGATCTCTGTCTAGTTTGAATACTCTTAAACTGATGATCAGTTTGTGTATGTGTCAGCACACCTGGTTGATTAAAAAAATCTAGAATACTTTAAATGAATCTCTCTACCCTGCTTCCTGATAGAGAATTTGACTTTCCAAATACTCAGTAATAATAATCCTTGCATTTGATATGGTACCTTATTACATTGTTGAGGCGTTTCAAAGTGCTTCACACGATTTTACTGTAATTAAAATATTGTAAATATTTCATTCATTTTGGATTATCTTAAATTGTGTACCCTCTTGGTATTAACTTGTTGAACAGTGTAATAATGTATTGCTTAATGCCCTTTATTCCATCAATCGTTCTTTTTTGCAATAGCAAAACCTGTTACTTTCTGTAAAAAAAACTCCATTCAAAAGGTGATTGTTATGTCATTGTTTCTGAAACTTGTTTATTAATTAAAATGTATTCCAAGGTTACACTTTTATAACATTTACAATTGAATTTTTTTTAAAAAAGCCTGAGGGATTCATATAAAGTTTTTGATTCACTACCATTTGGCTTAATGGTGTATATTATCATAAAATAATAATAATAATCCTTGCATTTGATATAGCGCTTTTTCATTGACGTCTCAAAGCACTTCACAGAATATACTGTAAAGTGAACTGACTGAAGATTTTTGTGGGTGAAACACGATAGCCAATTGAGCACAGCAGTGTCCCACAAACAATCGTGGATTGAATGAACAAATTATTATTTTATTTATTTATCAATGAAGTTCTCTTCAAGTTGATTTGTACATCATTAAAATTTTGTTCCTGCTTCTATAATCAATGTTCAATGGCTTTTCTGACACTTTCTTTAACTGTGCCATAGTTCCTTGCTCAGCTCAAGATCATGGACTACAGTCTTCTGGTGGGTATTCACGACGTTGAGAGAGCGGAACAAGAAGAAATAGAATTTGAGGAAAATGATGAAGAAGAAGGAGAAAGTGATGGAGCTGGAGCCCACACTACTGGTTCTTGTGGAACTCCTCCTGACAGCCCTGGAAATATACTGAACAGCTCAAGGCCGTTAGCACCCGGCGAATTTGACCCAACTATTGATGTTTATGCCATAAAAAGCCATGAAAGTAAGCAACATAATTTAAATTTGTATGTTTTTATTTGGGATGTTTTTTTGTTTATTTAGATTTGGTCTGTTATTTCCATTAATGGCATTCTGGCAAGTCCACACAGAGAATGAATGTTTAATTGTATTAATAATAATAATAATAATAATAATCCTTGCATTTGATATAAGGCTTTTCACGTCTTCTAGACATCTCACAGTGCTTCACAGAATAGACTGTAAAGCAAATTGACTGCATATTATGTGGGCGAAATGCGGCAGCCAATTACGCACAGCAGTGTCCCACAAACAGCCGTGGATTGAAGTGACCGATTTTTTTTTTTGGAAGGATTATCATTAGGCATATAGATTAACGAAACTTGCCCAAGGTTTCGCCCTGCCAGGAATCAACCCAGCTCTCTCGCTTGCAAAGCATGTGCTCTAACCACTGAGCTACAGGACTTGAATTGTCAGTATTATCTGAATTAATTTGAGTCAGCCATTTGGTAAAATTTACATAAAGACAAATTACAGCATACTTGTGCTAACGTAATTTTCTCTTACAGACCAAATCTAAATAAACAAAAAAAATCCCAAATAAAAACATACAAATTTAAATTAAGTTGCTTACTTTCATGGCTTGAGATCTACTAATTAGGAACGCCATTTTTTATTTTAAGGATTATTTTGTGATATTTCTGCTGTCACACTTCAAATTGAACTCTTGGCTTGGTTGCAATATAAACAGAGAGCATGAAAAGAAGCCATGGGGATCTGATTTGTATCTATTCCAGGGATACTGACCATAACTCACTCCTGACTTTGCTTGTGAGTTTTCAGGTCAATGCCCTGATCCAAAAGATAAATTGAATCTATGGCCTCTCTATCATGCTTCAACTGTTAGGTTTAAAATAAAATTCTCAGTATATATTTCACAAGAAGATGTTTATTGTGGAACAAACAATGCAGCAAACGTTGCAGTAAATCACAATGTGGTAAACATTCACAAGCTCTAATTAAATGAATCAAGTAGTTGTGTAGTTTTATCATTAAAAATGAATAATTAACTAAAGATTAAATTTAAACACCTCAAGTTTTATAATGGATTTCTCTATTACAGTCATCAGTAATTACTTTGAAGGGTAACTGAGAGCAAGTAAGATGAAAAGATAGTTTAGGAATGTGATTCACACATTCCTAAGGGGCATGTACCTTCATCTGAATTACCCCATGGTTTTAAATATAATTAAGTGAAGTCTCTTAGAATCTATTTTAAGTAAGTCTGTTTGACTGGGAGGTACTATGTTTTCATCACACAAAAAAATAATGTGGGACACAGCAGTGCGCAATTGGCTGCCGATTTCGCCCACAAAATGTACAGTCAATTCACTTTACAGCATATTCTGTAAGCGCTTTGAGACGTCTCGATGATGTGATAAGGCGCTTTAATCAAATGCAAGAATTATTATTATCAACACGATTGCCCAGCATTATTCTGTATCACACACCAGTCATATGAAAAACATTAACAATTAAATAGCAATTAATTGTCCACTGCTGAGTAGCACCTGGAAAACATGTTAGCCTGGCTCAGCTGTATTTTAGCAATGAAACATAACCATTAATTGTGGAACTTTACATTCCGGTCAGGCAGAGTCTTTGAACGTTTGTGTGATTGGCTGCAAGTAATTAGACGTTTGTGGCTTGAACACATTCCCATCACCTTGCCAACTGCATTCATGTTGCCTATAAACGTGAAGTTATAGCTGGGATTCTGCCAATGTTTGACTCTGGACTTGGCAAGAGGTGGCAATCCTATGTAACATGATCACTGTTTTACTATCCTATTACATTCAGCAGCCAGCAGCAGTGTTGGTTAGTCTTTCTTCACATACACTAAGTATTGTAACACTTTCCGTGCTCAGCAGTCAAAAGTGATTTTGAGTTTAAAGTTGTAAAGTAGCTTAACTATTCAGGTTTATAAATGGATGTTGCACATTGGCAATGTGTAAATATACAGGAATGGAAAAAATTATCTGGCCATACCCAAATTTTAATGTACCACATCCTCATCCTGAAATATTAGACATTTGAAAACAATTTAATAATACTTGCATTTAAATAATGCCTTAGCACGTCGTCAAGATATCTACTTTCGATACAAAGCTGTGTTTTAGATGTCTATATTAACAAGTTACCGTTGTTTGCCTTTTGAATGAATCAAAAGAAACTTCAACCCATTAAATGTTACGGACGGAATTCAGTGTTCAATGTTGCCCAAATTTATCACACAAATTTGATCAAGATCAAAGTGTAAAATTCCCACGTGTTTGTCAAACTTTGTAAAGTGTGTAAGAGGAAATAAAGAATCTGGATAGAAGCCTTGGTACAGAAATAAATAGGTTTCCTGCTCATTATTATTGGTTTACAGGTGAGCATTTATTTTAATAAGTGAATGCTAAAATATATGGGCAGTTAAAGACTGAAATTGAAATATCAAAAATATCTTTTGACTGATGATTCACGGGAAAACATTTTGGTTAACTTGTGTTTCTTGAAGCAGGACAAATGAGGGAGAAGTACTTAAGTATACTCCACCTACCTGTTTTTATGAAATAATATCACTGCTACTTTCTAAGAGAGAATTTGGGTTAGTGCATATCTTTCCCATCTTGGATGTGCTATTACAGGCCTCTACTCACACACACAGTTGGTCCATGTGTCACGAAAATGCTGCCAAAACAATCATGCACGCTTTTGTCACCTCCCGCTTTTATTTCTGAAATAAATTTATTTCTGAAATAAATAAATTATTTCTCTTCACTGGTCTCCCGAGTTCCAGCGCCCACAATTTCCAGGTAATACATATCCTCACCCGCACTAAACTCCACACCCCCATAAATCGCCAGGCTCCACTGATTCCCCATCTCCAAACAGATTGACTTCAAGTTCCTCACTGTCCCTTTACACCCTAGCACCTACTTACCTCTCTGATCTTCTCATTCCGCACTCCTCTAACCGCGCTCTCCTGCCCTCTCAGCTAACCAGTCGGCTGTGTGTCCCCTTCCCCCTCTTTGCTACCGTCAGGGACCAAGCCGTCAGTCACTACACTCCTAACCTCTTGAACTCCCTGCCTCTATCCCTCTGCTCACACTCCTCATTATTTATCTTTCAATCCTACTTTAAAGCCTGCCTCTTTGACCAAAACTCTCCCTCACTCAGAGTCTAACCCTAGTGCTGTGAAGCTCTCGGATGTTATCTTACATGAAGAGCACGGTGTCAAACTCTTGATAACTCGTTGCTCCAAGGGGAAAATCCGCAGCGACCAGTTATCAGGTGTGTTGAGTTAGGCATGGATACTTTAATGGTAGTGACAAGTTAAGCCAGGAGTTGTTATCAGGAGTTTACTGTCTATTGCATCTATGATGTGTATTGTGAAGGAATTTCATTTGGTTGTATAGAAGGTGATATCATATCAACCATATTGTATTGTGAAGCAGAGGTACTTGTGCCAGGAAACGTTGTACCATCTGAATACAATGGGTGCATCCAGGTGCTCTGACTCCTGGATGCTGCCATGACATGTGCCTTTAATCTGGATCTGGTGCAAATTGGGATACGAGGTAACAGGTTTCAAAGGAAAGAAAACGTTATCCCTAAGAGAAGTTATAAATAGAAATATCAATCAATGTACACGGGGAGCACTTTTCTTCTTTTATGCTATGCAAAGGTAAAAGAAGTTGAGACGGTGACTAGTTACGTGTTAACTAGTAACTCATCGCATTCTCAACTATAATGGAAACATATAATTGTTTCCATCTTTGAAAATACTTTACTGTGCAGTTTATTAGAATCCAGTTCATAAACTGCAACTTTATTTTACAGACTCCCCAAGGAAGGAGGTGTACTTTATGGGAATTATTGACATTCTGACACATTATGATGCAAAGAAGAAAGCTGCACATGCTGCCAAAACAGTCAAACATGGAGTAAGTAATTGTTCCTACAATGTGTTTCTTTTAAAATGCATTGGCTCTTACAGTTATAATAATAATAATAATAATCCTTGCATTTGATATAGCAGCTTATCACGTCATTGAGACTTCGCAAAGCATTTCGCAGAATAAAGTGAAATGACTATATTTTGTGGACAAATCGCGGCAGCCAATTGCGCACAGCACTGTCCCACAAACAGTGGATTGAATGACCAAATTATTATTATCATTATTTTATTTTTGAAGGGATTATTACCCCTGGAAAAGTGATCCACCGATCGACTAACAACCTGGTTCCTACTTACTGCTAGGTAAACAAAGGCGCGTGGAGTGAGGAAACTTGCCCAACATTTTGCCTTGCCGGGATTCAAACCCAGGTCTTCTCGCTTGCGAGGCGCGTGCTCTAACCACTGAACTACACTGAGCCGTGTTTCAGTTGGTGATAATCCCTGATGTTTGTATAATTTATTCAGGGAGGAGATACTCCGAGATTAAAGTACAAAATCTTGGAACGTATAGGACCAGCAAAGTTCACTCTGGTCCATCTGCCAGTCCCAAGGTCAAAAATCCCCCAAAGTATAATCCTACACTAATCTGTCCTTTATTTCCAATGTTTCTTTTCCAAACGGTTACCTAATTCCCTCTTAACGTTGCTGACAGAATCTGCCTGCGCCACCACCACCCTTGGTAGACTATTCCACACATTCACCATTCTGTGCCATTCCAAACAATCTTATGGTTCAGTTCATCTATATCCTCAAAAGTACTTGATCATATGATTTTAATTTTTAGTCTGTTTTTTTAAATCAAAGAAGTGACTTAACTAATTTAACTAAATATTATTGTTTTATTTTATTGATTGGGTATCAATTTGAAAACGGTAAATTAAAATATTTTAGAACTCGAGTTACCGTCATTGTGAACATGAAGTGGTTAAAGACTCGAGACTTAAACCTATCAAAAATGTCACTAATGCTCCATTCCATTTTTAGACTGCAGGATACACTTCTGCTATACCTGACCTGGAAATGTTGGCTGACACTGAATGAATCAAATTAGATCGAGTTCTATTTCTCAAAGCTAATGTCACCCAGGTTAACAATTTTGCCCCTTCCTAAAGTGTAAGGAATTGTTTAGGTTTTATTTTACCCTTGCTATGCTCCACCCATACAATTAAGATCCAGATTCTGGGACATGAGAAGAAAAGGGACACTTTTGAAAATTATTATTCTTCATATTCTGAAACCAGATTATTTGTTACTGATTTACAGAGTGCTAAATCAGAATATAATTATAATAATAATAATCCTTGCATTTGATATAGCGCCTTAACACGTTTTGAGATGTCTCAAAGCACTTCACAGAATATACTGTAAATTGAATTGACTGCATATTTTCTGGGTGGAACGTGGCAGCCAATTGTGAGATATGTTAAAGAGAAACCATAGTAATCCTATTTTCTGTGTGTTATAGGCTGGTGCAGAGATCTCCACAGTCAACCCAGAGCAGTACTCGAAGCGCTTCTTGGATTTTATTGCTAGTATCTTGACATAGCCTATCAAGTGTAATGTGGGGACACATGCGGGAAAGGGGGATGGGAGGGGTGATGAAGACGTGGGACAGAAATGGGGCTCAATGAAAAAATGGCATCTGCAGTGTTCGTCTTGCTGAAAGCGTTCCCTTGTTTACATCTTCCGGATAAGATGACTGATGGAAAATAGCTTTAACTGCTTCCTGAAACTCCCAGCACAGTACTTGCTATTAATGACTTTATTTTTACCAAAAAAAAGGAAAAAAATTTTAAATCTGCTCAGAGTGCACTGCTTTCACAACACTCCCAAGACTGGATGTGATGGAACTTTATGGGAAGAGGTACTCACAAAACGGGAAGAAAATGCATGCTAATTGACGCAAGCAATTACTGGTATCAAACTATAAACTGTGGATCGGTTTATCACTTGAACTGAAAGAGGCAGAGCAGTATTCGTTTAACTTGTTATTGTTACACTTTCATTGTGCATGCTGGCACTCCTAAGGTAGCTATATACGGTATATTGTTTGTTCAAAGGGAGTCCTGCCATAATAAAACGTTCAAAGTATTGTAAATTTATGTCAAAGTCAATTTGTCTTAAATCACCACTTTGGGCAGCTTATACTAATTGTATGTTTCAGAAAAAAAAGTTCTTGGATGGGATGCAAATAAGAAATCAAAACATTTTGCTCACTGCTATTAACAGTAGTTGGATGATTTGAAGTTCTTATAAACTGAATGGCCACAGTACAGAAAAGATACGCTTTAAGTGCTAGGATTTGCCTTATGATTATTTAGCATTGTTTCGGGCAACACTTTACTACATTTCTAGCATTCTTTCCCTTTTTAAAACAAAAAAATAGGGTACATGCTAAAGGCTTTAACATCATGAATATCACGATCATCACATTGGATTTCACTGTAATTGTTTGAACGCAGTGATAGAATGTGAAGCTCCATTTTTAAACCGTTCAGTTTATCCTTGAATTAGCAGATTGATTTTTTTTGTTTGTTTCATATCTTAACTTAAACTTAACCCGTTGTTAGAAAAGCAAAATTATTTTCCTTCCTATGCTAATAGTTCATAACTTGCAATGGTCGGAGACTTTGTTTGGGGTCAAAGCATAGCTAGTTAATTCATGTTAACATGGCTTCCAATAAATTCTCTGCAATGGCAAATGTTCTAAGGCGGCCTTGGCATCTAATTAAATTTGATGTGAATTGCTCCTTCCATCGCTCATCTCATTTTCATATACAGTACCAACCATTTAAGATTTAGGAGCACGCTAGTCATATTTCAGAATTCACTTGGTTGCCTTTCTGTTTGAGTTTTGTAGCCGTAATGTAAATTGTAATAAATGGTTGCCTGAAACTGTGGCCATCCTCGTTACCTGTTGATGCTTTTAAATAAATAGGGATTGATCGAGTTATGTTAATTTCTGTACTACCGTCACCATCTCAATTGTGTAGATTATGCCATGCTACAGGAAGCTAACCTTGCTTAATATCTTCAAAGTACACATTGTTCAACAGTTGTGCCTTTTCCCTGGTTAAATCATTGAAGTTACTGTTACTACTATTATATCAATTTCATCACCTACAATTATTAAACTGTGCTCTCCCTTGACTTATGGGTGTCTGAGCAAACAAGGAGTGTCAGAATGCCTTTCCTAGTAAAAATGTATCCATGCTGTTTGAACAACAAACTTGTAAGCGCTTCACATTAGGTAGCAGTTACCTAGATCGCACTTGGATTCCAGTGAATTTCAGCATCTCCAGTGGCCAAAGGCAGTGGTATCCCTGTGGCTATGTAATAATTTAACATTGGTTTTGTTACTCTTGGTATAGTGATGTTAACACTGTAATGTAAATGTACAGTTATATATTTTATGTATTTAAAAAATTTAATTTTTTCCATAATCGTTGTGCCGGTCACTTTCATTTCAAATATTCTGTAGGATGCTGTGGTTTCCATTAATAATGGAACTACAGGAAGCAAGCCCTATGTGGGAGAAAGAGGTACACTTAAAACAAAATTTATTTTGGCAACATTTTCCCTCTGTGGCTCATGTGTATTTTAAATGCTTTAGTAGCTTAAAATATGACGCACATTGTTTTGTCTGCAGCAGTCTTTATTGGTCATTCACGTAAGGTGAAGTGTTCTTTTGTTTAAATTGAGGCAACGTCATGCAATATGTACTAGTGCTGCAAATTACACACTCCATAATAAACTTTGCTTTATCAAATAAAGCACTTTGTTGTCTCAAAAGGTACTTGTATTGCTGTTATCATTTTCATACTGGTACTACTAACTGCAAATGTCCATTCTAACTCAAACATTTCCAAAACTTATTTAGGAGAATATCGAGCCGTTAACCACAGGAACTAGTTACCAACTTCAGTTTATGGCATCCATTTCCCTCACAGCTATTCAGCATCTTAAAGTGTCAGCAGTTCATTTTGAATTTATGGAAAAGGACTTCATTAGTAGCAAAGTATGTTTTTTTTTGCGGTCAGCTGGGTGTCTCACGCACGCTATGCTTAATGGTATCCAACTCACAGTTTTACAGATGGACGCCACTTACAAATGGAAATTTCCCTGTGTGTGGAGTGGAATGCGCACTCTCTCCTTGGAGGGACGCATGCTGCTAACCTAATTCCTAATGGAAAGTATTAGGTACAGGTTGGCAAGATCCAAGGCTTGGGGACCCCAGAGTGTAGTTGGGGTACTGCACTGCTGGAGTTTAATCAGCTAAAAGCACATTGCTTGTCATTGAAAATATTTTAACTGACGAGCTTCCCACTGCTTGTCCAGCAAGAACCATCCTACCCATTAAAGCTTTGGCTTGCAACAATAACAATTGCATTTATATTGTGCCTTTCAAGCAGGTAATGCCTCGGAGCCTTTCAAGTCACTGCCCCCTGTGACCGCCTTGGCATCTCTGTTGCTAGGCCTGCTGTTCTGTCATCAGGAAGCCCCTGGAGGGGCTCTTCTACTTGAAACAATTTTAAAGAAAGTTGAGCTCTTTATTTCCCCACAAACCCGCTTTTTAAAAAAGCCTAAAACACTGAAAATAGTTGTTGAAAAGAGGAGGGCTGCTCAATGCAATAACAACAACTACATGCATTTATCTAGCGCCCTTCACGCTGGGTGGCAACCTCAAGAGCTCGAAGTACATCTACCAAAGTAGGCACATGGTGTCCAGGCCAAAAAGCAGAAATTCACCTAACACAAAGGAGTGGCTTATTTCTTTTGGAGCCGATCCATTTAAGGACCATTAATTGAAGGCAGTCTTCATGTTCTCATAACCAGCCAGAAATAATTTCGACCAATATTCCAGCGTGTCTTGAATTGCCAATGCTTTGATAGCCTAGTTGCTAACAACTTCAGGAAGGTAGTGCCCTGTCAGTGAACCCACTCAATCCTTCTCTACCTTTACCAATGGGCAGTCAATTCTTTTTGTGAATGTTTTGTATTTTTGGCAGCTGTGTGCGTTACCTTTCTCATTCGTGCTAAAATCCATCCTATTCTTTAACGCAACTCCACTTCACTTGGTCTTTCTTGTTTAAATCAGTCAATCTCTACAGACTTGGTACAAGGCCACCTTGTTTGCAAGTTTCATGTTATTGAATGAAGTAACTACATCATTTTGGAAAAGTGTACGCTTGTGGTAATCTTGCAAGTTAGAAAACTACCCTACAGAATACCCAGCCTACCATCCATCCTCCCATCACAGCATCGAGCTGTTTTTTAAATGAATCCAGCATTCTGGCCTCAACCACTCTTGCTGGTAACCTGTTCCAATTGGTAATCACCCTCTGGGTAAAGAACTATTTTCGTGTGTCTGTCCTGAATCACAATCAGCCAATTTTCATAACATGGAACCAAGCAAAAATGGAGTCTGCATAAAAGCACTGACGATATACCAGGTCTTGATGACTAAATGAATGTATGCTCCAACAACATGGAAGTCTTAATCATTGTGTTATTTTTACTTACCACCCTGAGAGCTGTTAAAGCATTTAATATCTTATCACAAATGGCTATTATGATTAAGATGATAGTCAACACTCTTTTAAATGTTTCTAAGTATTCACAGAATGCTGTTAAAGGATACAGGAAAGAGCAAGGAAATTGGGAAACAGCAAAGGCTTGTTAATCATGAATGGGATCCTTTTGTGCTGTATTATCTATGACTGGGGCAGAGGGGGGTGGGAGAGATCAATATTTACTTTTGCTACACCCTTATATTTTAAAACCTATGACATGATAAGGTGCTATATCTAATACAAGGATTATTATAATAATTATTATTGTCAGTCCCAGACCTTTAGCAGTTGGCATACTGCATGGGTTTCCCCTGACTGCTACAGATTCACAGAATAGAATCATTATGCCCCAAGTTACCAATTTACAATGCATCCAGAATAATCCTTTTATATTTATCTTCTCAAAACCTTTTGGAATTTTGAAGAGATATTTTAGATCCCTTTCCCTGCACCAGTGAAAACAGACCTGATTTTTCAAGCCTAGTTATATCATTTTTTTCATAACTATAACCACTGAGCCTTCAAATCATTCTTGTATTCCAGTTCCATAGTTCATGAATTGTGCTTTGGAAAAGTACGAGTAAACTTTCCTCAGCTCTTAGGAGGTATAGCATGAAACTAGCCATTCAGCTCAACTAGTCCGTACCAGTATTTATACTCCATATGAATCTCCATCCATCCTATTCCTCTTTTCGTTTCCCGGCTTCCCTGCCCTCCATCCCTCCTGATCCCAACCCCAGCTCGGGTCCAAATTCCTGAATGTCCAGTGCCTTGGGACGTCCTGACATGAAAGGCGCTATACAAAAGTAATTTATTGTTGTTATCCCTCTATTCCCTTTCCCCATAAATAACACAAATAATGATTGCGACATATGAAAATAATTGGGTATTACAAACTTATAGACTGTACTCATCTCACAATACTTACTCCAGTGATTTCTTGATATAACTGAGAAGTTCAGGCAATGTAAAGCAAAATACTGGGTCAGCTCAAGATCAGGACTAAGGTAATAGTCAAAAGAAATAATCTACATCTTAAAGTATGAGTATGCTGTGCGCAATTGGCTGCTGTGTTCGCCCACAAATATACAGTCAATTTACTTTACAGTATATTCTGTGAAGCGCTTTGGGACGTCGAGAAGACGTGAAAAGCGCTATATCAAATGCAAGGATTATTATTATTAAAAGTAATTTGCAGATGCATATTACAGACATCTGCAGTTAGTATTTTTTGCACCTGGGTTTTACAATAATAGTTGCATTTGATATAGCACCTTTATTACATTGACAAAGTATCTTAAAGCACTTCACAGGATTTATTATAAAGTGTATTGACTGCATATATTTGAACACAGCTACCAATTTGCACACAGCAATGTCCCACAAACAGCCATTGAGTGATAGGCCAATGATTTATCTTGAGGATTATTGACCAGGAAACCAGAAGAAACTCCCTTCTATTTTAAAATAGTACCATGGGATCTTTAACGTTCACTTGAACAGGCAGATGGATAAACGTCTCATCCAAAGGACCACACCTCCGACAATGCAGGACACACGTCCCAAGGCGCTGGACAGTCAGAGTTTCGGACCCGAGCTAGGGGTCGGGATTGGGGAGGGTGGAGAGCAAGGGGGGAAGCGGGGTGATCGAACGCACGATCAAAGAGGAGGGTCTTGAGCAAAAGATAGAACAACAGCAACAACAACTAGCATTGATAGAGCTCCCTTAACGCCGGACTGCTTCTCAGAGCGCTTATCCAAACACTTGGGGTATGCCACAAATGACCATTCAGGATGGGAGGAGAAACCATTCGTGGAGATAAAATGATGGGGCTGGGGCAAGTAGGATTCAAACCAGGAGAATGAGGTTCCATTGAGGGGGAAGAGAGAGGAGAGGCAGTTGAGGAGGATGGTACGGTTGACTGGGTTGAAAGCAGCGGAGAGGTCCAGAAGGACAAGGAGGCAGAGGGAACTCTGGTCACAGAGAGGACAACATTTGTGACTTTGACAAGGGCTGTCTCTGTGCTGTGGGCCAGGCAGAAACCAGACTGGAGGGGCTTGAATAGGGAGTGGAGAAAAAGGTGCGAGTGAAGTTGGGTGGCAATAACATGTTCCAGGACTTTAGAGATGAGGGCAAGTTTGAGATGGGCCAGTAGTTTTGAATCCTCCACACATTTAAAGATTTCCTGCTAGACTTGTCCCCTCATTAAGAAGTTTGTGCCTGAAGACTCACAATTCTGAGGCACTGAGGAATCTACCTCAATCCAATGTGTACTTGGATTATACAACAACAACTTGCCCTTATAAAGCGCCCTTCACTCAGGGCAGTGTCTCAGAATATTATAATATTTCTTGCATTTGATATTTCGCCTTTCAAGTCAGGAGGACATCTCGAAATGCTTCATAGAATTTGTTGTAAAGTGTAGTGAAAGGATTGCATTGATTTGTAAGTGAACTACAAGTTATCTGGATCATTTGTAATTTTCTTTAATATGTGGTCACTCTTAAGTCTTTTTTTTCAGCCATAATGAATGACCTTAGAGTTTGTAATTATATTGTATTATGAATCCAGGCTTATCAGTGTAGTTCAGATCACATTTCTTTTTGATGAGTTTAACCAAATAAATTTCAGATTTTGAAGCATCCTTAAGGGCTAACCCTGATGTATTATTTCATGGATCAGTCCCAGACCTATTGCAATTATCTTGCTGTATAGATTTCCCTTTCCCCTTATATATTCATTATGCCCCTTAGTTACCAATTTACCAAAAATTCAGAATAACCATCAATCTGTCAGTCTGAAAAGAAAACTTGACAATGACGAATGAAGCCATTCTGCGACCTCTCATAGTATTAGATGTCAGTGTGACTCAGTTGTTTTTCACTCTACCCACTGGCTCTGAAGATTGTAGGCTGGGATCATGATCTACTCTAGGTGACATTCCAGTGTAACAATCTGAATTACTAAAATCACAGAAAGGTGACAGGTGGAGTGTGGCATCAATGTCCTTCTGTAATGTACTGTACATGAATTGTAAAACAGAAGTCCTGTCTGGCTGTTCAGAGTAATGTTAAAGATCCCATTTTTATTGTGTCAGCCTGGTGGCCAACAAATGCAAAAGAAAATCACAAATGCTTAAAAGTATTCAAACCAGTCAGAAATCCACCTGTGATTCTACCTACGCACAGAAATGTCACTGTGTCTGGAATGGAATGAGT